ATCATCCTTATAAATTTACATCTTATCTTATAAAATGGATACTCTAGCTAATTATTAATATTATTATATAAACGCCAATGAAATACCAGGTGAGCTTTCGCGCGAAAACTTGATATCTTCACATGTGAAAATAACATCTTATCTTCACATGTGAAAATATCACTGTTGCTATGGCTTCATAATAAATCGTGCCTTTCACACCAAAAAACTGTTAAAATGAAATGGTTTGGTACTTAATTGATGGTGTTTATATAATAAATGGAACATTACATGGCCGCTTGGAGATACGAAATTTCTCTTCTCGTGTGGAAAAAATATTTCACTCATTTGCTGTGCTCACTCATGAAATTTTTTTCAACACTCGAAGAGAAATTTCATTATCTCCATGCGGTCATGTAATATCCTCTATTTATCTAATGGTTTGATCAGCTTGGTTCTTAATTTAAAACACAGTTTATGTTCATTTTGCTTAACATGAATGAGCTGAAATCTTTCAATAATTTGTAATGATGATGTGTAATTTAAATGAATCTGAAAACATCTGGCAAAACCCTCAACCTTTTTAAAGAAAAATTATTCACGGCAAACCTTACATAATATACAAAAAAAAAAAAAATTACATTAAATTCATTGTTTGAAGCTTTAGAAAGAAAGAAAGTTGATGCAAAAGTTGTAGGTGCAGGTTACAATAAAAGGTCTTTTTTTAAAAAATGCTCCATAAATCAGAATTTACAAAAACAACCAAATACAAAAACATGCATTAATGTAAAAAGTAGAAAAAATGCCTTGATCATTGAGGTTTCATTGTTGATGATCTTACAACAACTGATTTAAACAATGTTTTTGGCAATGAAGAGGGAGAAGATGTCACCATTGAATTAATAGATTTTGTTGTTATCCTCCTTTTCAGCTTTCCAAAAAAGATGAAATACGCTCCACAGTACAACAGCTGGTAGCCAGAGAAGAGGAGTTAAAATCCAAATTACAAAATATGGAAAGAAATCAGGATGAGCAGGTTTTGGCTGAGCAAGAAGAGCAAACAAGCAGGGAGGAAACACAAGATCAAGTGCAATCTACTGGTGTAGGTCCACAAGAGGTTGTGAATGAGAATGCTCAAAATGAAACTGAACTTACGATCAATGAAAGTTATGATCGGGCTCCAATAATTGTCGAGCCTAGTTCAGCAGCTGCAATACCTGACATTGTACCAACAGCAACAACAAGGAGAGCTCCCATTTTAAGTTCTACTCAGACCTACATGAGATTTCAAGTCAGGAATTTGCATGGCCATAATGACTTGATATGTGGTGTAGATTGCCGAGGATCTGTCCTTGTGTCTGGAAGGTAGTGTTGTCATTTTTTTAAATACTTAAGAGTTCTTGTTTTAAGTCTGGTTGCTTGAAAGGTTATTTTAAACTTAATCATGAGAAGAGTTTGACAGGCATTTTCATGGCATAACTCCAAACTGAACATGATTATTTAGTTAATTATATGTAGAATGCTAAACCAGTTGATAAAGAGTTTATGGGAGCATTACATATGTATGTTACCAAGGTAATTGAAAATCATCCACCAGAGAGGAACCCAGCGGTTTCACCCCATAGTGAGTTAACCCCCTTCCACACTCATTGTCGCTTGCTTGGGTTAGCTCATGACAAAAGTGTAATGCTAGGATGCATGTAGAGTGTAAAGCCAAAGTTTGGAAAATTCTTACATGTAGGCAGGGATGATGGATCCATTGCTAATTTTAACCTGCATTAAACTTAGGACAGAAGGGGGTGACTTGTTGGAGGCTAATTATTCACGAATTAAACTCACTGATATTCACCAGAAGCATGGGTCATTCTTTACAGCTATCCCATCAGTGCGATCATACCTGTAAAGCAACCAGGGCTCCTGCCCCAGAATGGCTGCCAGACTTTTTGAATGTCCCTCATTACTGAACCACTTTGGGACTGTTACTAAGATTTCAAGTTGCTGGGTTTAAGCAGGGAATACTCCTTGGGATTCCTTTTGGTTCCTTCTCTTCTTCTATTTTCCTGTGAAAGTAGCTTTTAGCCCCCTGTACTTTGTCTCATATCAAACTTTTCTGCAAGAAAATTCAGCTTCATTGAATGGAATGTCTTATGCGTCCCATTACTCTTGAGGTTGTGAATCTCCTTTTAGTGCTGTCATTAAGGGCTAGGGAGCAGTGATTTTGCCGGGCTACTAGAAATTAGCCTGTGAAGAGGCTCCTTAGTGAAGCAAGCTGAGTGTGGCCTGACGAAAACGGTGGAAGAGCTTGTAGGCTTTCTTTTGATGTTCCTTATCAGCCTAATTACAATAAATATATCATCCTGTAATACATACATGTCAATCACATGTCAATAAGGAAATTAGACCTGTCAAATTATGATGTTCTTTACGCTCGAAGTATCGGCTTGAATAACTTGCACGTCCGCTCCACTTGGGAGCCTGTTCACAGGCTACTAAAAAAGAGAGCCGGCTCTATGGACCTACTTTAGTACAAACATGAAAATTCGACACAATGGAATGTGAAAGTTTCCAAGCTGCTTATCTGGGAACCACTGTAGGTTTACATTAGTATAACATTTTTTTTTCTTTAGTCCAAGATATAAATATTAGAAAGATGTTGCATGGTAATTTGAATTTAGAACCTCTTTTAAAGGGATACTGTCATGTAATTTGGAGAAACCCAAAGACATCTTTGCAAATATGATATTACGAATGTTACAGCTATATTGCGCCAATAATCTCGAACAAAACTCTAAGAAATTTTTTTTGAAAAAGATTTTCTATCTCTCTGGAAACGATGTTTTTTTTTTGGGAGAGACCTTCAACGTTTACCTCGTCACTTTTGATATGGGAGTTCCCCCTAGTGATACATAAATCACCCAGTCATTTTGCTCTGCAAGTCCTTATGCATAACGTTACCTGGAACTAAAATATAAAACTTCTAATTAAGATTAAGTCGGGTGAAAAAGTACCGCAGTTTGTTTTGTGCATCATCATCTTTGTGAAAATTAAAGGATGCGCTGGAATATTTTTGTACTTTCCTGTTTAAAGAAACGTAGCAAATGCACTGATTTGCAGTTGAGCAAAATGGCTTTGAGGTGAAATGACTGTTGTTAAAGGAAACGTTGTGTGGAAAATAACAATCTGTGGTAATCGTGCCTGCTTGGCATTCAACCAGGGGCAATTATGTGCTACAAGGTTGCGTGAAAAGAGAATCTGCAAAAGAAAAGGAGAAGAGAATCTGCAAAAGGAAACATATGATTGAACAAAGCCGAGATCAGGGCCTAGGAGAAAATGATTCAAGAACAGAAGCAAAGAAAAAACGAGCAGTCCAAAGAGCAGGATCAAGCATGGTAGCAAGGTCTCAAAAGACGGACAAAGAAATGGTCGCAAGTTTACGTCCACAATCACATGGAGAGTTTGGCAAACGGGAGGTTGCTGTGATCCCACAAAATCTACTTGTAGATCAGAATTACAAACGACATTGTTCAGATCCAAGCATCACGGCGAAGAATCCAAGGTTAGACAAGTCAATATGCTCGGGAGAATATTCTCAACCGCTTGCAGAGTCAAGGAGACGTAAAGGGTTTGCGATTATAACAGAGGTTGATGATGTCACAAAAGATACTTGTGAACCTCTGGCGTCCAAGGAACCAAGTCATGTTTGTATAGATATTGAGAAGAAACTAAAAAATCCAACTCCATCATCTCACACGTTTGGAGAAGATCACCTTAGCCTCCAGAACAAAGAAACAGAAACTTTACAAAGTGGAGATGAACAACAGCAGTCAGCTGCGATTAAAGGAAGTGCCCCCGTTAGAAGAAATATTGTTATTCAAACTCAAGAAATGTTTTCAGTCTTTTCTGGAGAGGAGAATCTTGAAAGCTATGAATCAGTACCAAGCGAACATCAACAAGTGGAGATNAAGTGGAGATGAACAACAGCAGTCAGCTGCGATTAAAGGAAGTGCCCCCGTTAGAAGAAATATTGTTATTCAAACTCAAGAAATGTTTTCAGTCTTTTCTGGAGAGGAGAATCTTGAAAGCTATGAATCAGTACCAAGCGAACATCAACAAGTGGAGATACAAAGAGGAGGCAAAGAAGCAGACGCCTGGTGTGAACGGAAGTGATGTTGGAGAAGTTGTTGTTGATAAAGGGGAAGAAGTCGCGTCTGAAAGCGGCGACGTTGTAACACATCAATCAGTGGAGTTACAGGCAAACAAGCAGACGCCTGGTGTGAAAGAAAATGAAGGTGAAGAAATTGCTGTTGTTCAGAACCAAGCAGTCGAGTCTGAAAATGGCAATGTTCTGACACAGCAACCAGTAGAGTTAGAGGCAAACAAGCAGACGCCTTATGTGAACGAAAATGCTGTTGGAGAAATTGCTGTTGATCAGAACCAACCAGTCACGTCTGAAAGCTTCAATGTTGTAGCGAGTGAACATCAACAAGTAGAGATTAAAGAGTCAAGCAATCAGATGCCTGGTGTGAACGAGAGTGATGTTTCAGAAAGTGCTGTTGATCCGAAAGAGGCAATTTCAACTGAAAGCATCAATGTTTTTACAAGTGCAGGTCAGCAAGTGGAGATAGAAGCAAGCAACCAGAAGACTGGTAACGGAAGTGATGATGGAGAAATTATCGTTGATCAGAGAACATCAGTCGCGTCTGAAAGCTTCAATGTTGTAACAAGTGAACGTCAACAATTAGAGATAGAAGCAAGCTACCAGTCGTCTGATGTGAACGAAAGTGGTGGTGGAGCAGGTGGTGTTGATCAAAGAGAAGCAGTCGCGTCTGCGGAGAGCTTTAATGTTGTAACAAGTGAACTTCAGCAAGTAGAGATAGATGCACACAACCAGGCGCCTTGTGTGAACGAAAATGATGTTGGAGAAACTGTTGTTGACCCTGGAGAAGCAGTCTTGACTGAAAGCATCACTGTGGGAACAAGTGACGGTCAGCAATTTTGAGATAGAGGGATGCAACCAGACGACTGGTGTGAACAACGGAAGTGATATTGGAGAAAATAGCGTTGATCAAGGGGAAGCCGTCTCGTCTGGGAGCGTCAATGCTGTAACAAGTAAACATCAACAATTGGAGATAGAGGCAATCAATGAAATTGATGTTGAAGAAATTGTTGGTCAGAACCAAGCAGTCGCGTCTAAAAGTTTTAATGTTGTATCAAGTCAGCATAAGCAACTGGAGATAGAAGTAGACAGTACTGATCACAGTACTATTATCGATCCATCCTTTTCAACGAGGAAATCTGATAGTAAAGACGGCTTTCTTGACAAGCAGAAATCCGTCGCACAGGGTTGAAACAGTGGTTTAGTGGGATTCATAAATGGTGAAGTAATTCTTTTGCTGTGAGCATTTATTTTTTTTTTGCCAAGGTTTTTTTTCTAGAAGCCTTTCACGGTTCACGTGAAATTCCCATCAAGGTACACCTTTCCTCAGACAGTCCTTCAAGCCAGCTCAACTATTTTCAAAGTCGCCTTTTGCTGGACTGGACTGACTAAAATGGTCGCCAGACATAAAATATTGGTCGTTAGATTGTAATATTTACATGAAAGGTTTGAAATAATCTAGATGGCTGCCTTTCTTTCGCTATCAAATTATTTGGGGCTGCACGCGACATCTGAAGACAGGTGTCTTACCTCGACAAACAGAGAGAAAAAGGCGAATTATGAATAAAACAGAGCGTAAATATTATTTCATGCAAACATTTGTCTCACTTAACTTCACAAAGGTCATAGACACGGCTTGGCACATGCCCGAATTTGCGACTTTCAGCATTTTAATTTGTCAAAAGTTTTTTCTTCTCGCCATGGCGACCAATATAGTCGTACCTTAGAGTGCTGTCAGGGAGTTTGAAGGTGACCTAACAAACATTAGGCTTCATAAAATTGCTCACACACTCAAATAAGAACTCAGGGCCCGGTTCCTTGAAAGATGGTTAGGTTTAACCCAGGATTAAGCCAATTTTCATGCTCGGTTTTCTCGTCTAAGAACTTGCAACTCGAGGTTACAAAATACTGTTGAGCTTATACTACGAGATACAGTAATGATTACACAAAATGGTACCTTAAGCAATGCATAGGAATGTAAAATACAAAAACGGAACGAAATTTTAAACTATGGGACTGGATTAGGACGCTATCTCTTCTTTTATTGGCCCAGCACGAGCCTGCAGTGCAATTCGGCATCGCTGACCCAGTCTCACGCTAGAATTACGCAATTGCTTTTAAAGAAAAAAATTTTTTTGGGCGGGGGTGGAGTGGGGGGGGGGGGAAAAAAGGTAATTTTAATTTTCTTTTTTTTTTATTGTCTTCTCCACAGCTATCCGCGTCATATTTTAACATTTGGGCTCTTTTTTTTTAAAATAGCCCTTTTTACCCCCGATACTTTTTTTTTTAATTTTCAACG